ATATATGAAAAATCATTTTGGCAAGTTATAGTATCACACTTTTAAAATATATAAGTATAATATATAAGTGATTAGCAGAGGCTATGGCGATTTAAAAATATGATAGGACTATAATATTATCTTGTTAACAGGACGTTATAAAAATCTATCTATAAAATTTCTAACACATTTTATGCTAGATATTACATGAGAGATCTTTTATACGTTCTATTCTAACTCTGGCGATGTCTTGTTAAATATACATTACAGTTTCCCAGGTATAAAGGACAAAAGTCTCCTAGAAAACACTAACTCAGTACAGTTTTGTTTCATAAAGTAATTACCAGCAAAACATTCAAAATGCCAGCAGAGGAAAAAATATAAAAATTGTATGAAATCACTTTTTGATCCTATTCAGTCAGACTTTTAATGCAATAAAGTTTGCAATGCAATATATTTAAAAACGACAGCTCAAGTTATTTAAAGTAGAAAATGATAATTTTGTTCACATTCAGGGATTTCAAACACCAGTATACAATTAGCACGTGTTGACGCTATCGAGTTATGTCACTCTTACGACAGTTACTTATAAAAAGCTATAATATTAACTGCCTTAAAAAGACTGATGAGCTCTCAAAGGTCCTTAAGGATCTAGGTATTATATCTTACCCGGATATAGGATGGTGAGGCATAATTACTTGTTTTAACAAGGGTAGGGTTTTAACTTGGTTTAACAGTGAAATTATACCGTCAGCTATGTAACAGGACTGACCATCGGGTCCTCACAACTTATTATAGGCAGTAAAAAACACTATTTAAATGTTTCCGACTGGGAATCGAACGCGATTCGTTTACGACTCAGTACGTTCCTGAAGTCCTATTTTATTAAATTAATAAAAAATTCTAGAGTAGCTTAGCTTTTAATTTGCAACTGGCTTTACACTTTTATACAAATATATGCTGTGAATCACTGTTATGTCACTAATATGATAGATAAGTACGGTACTTACAATTATGTAGGTTTTATGTATTTGAAAATGCTCTTTGTTATTAAAAAGTAATAAATTTTTATCATTACCGTAAGGCGATAAGATTTCGTTTATCAGTCTTATTGATAAACGTACTATTAAAGTTGTGTCACGTTTATACAAAAAACCACAAAAGTGATAAAGAATATTCAACAGTCGTTTGTGGCGGTGTAAGTCAATAAGTAATTAATTGGCGAGAAATTTCGAAAGTGATATTTCTTACCTAAGATTTTTTTTTTACTTAAAAATATAAAATTAGGTATTAAAATCAATACACATATTCTTATTTTAAAGATAAGAAATAAATTATCCTAATTATATTTTCCCGCGTGTTGATTTCAAGCAGTAGATTCGGTTAAAAAATTCGTTTACTTTTCGTAAACGAATTCGTTCAATTTGATCCCCAGGTCGAGAACGTAAGTTCCGAAAACTTTTCTCATATAAAAGGCATTCGACTTAATACCAATGTCTATAGGTCACAAGACGCCACGACTTGACTTTTATGTGAATATTTCTATATTTGTTTTTCTTTCAACACTTTCAAGGGTGAAGCGAACGAAGAATGAAAGCTTGCGTCTTTCAAACCGCAATATCACAGTTATTTTTGTCACTGAAACCTTGGTCCATAGATGCTTGTAAGCAAAAATTTATTACATATTAAAGCTTGTTTGTTTTAGATTTTAGAATACAGATTCAGCAAACTACTTGAAACTGAAGAAATTCCTAGATTCTTATTACCGACCAGCTAACATTATGGTGGGTGTTAGGTGTCTTCTTTGCCCCCCCCTAAACAATACTTGCACCCCTCTGACGCAACAGCATTATAAATGGAAGCGGACCAGTGATATCGACAGCTTTGATCGGATACCTTATATCGGACCGGTCAAATCCTTAAATTAGTAATAAGTCTAAAATATATATTAATGATCGTACCTTATATCCGGCCGTTTAAATTGTCATATTTAATTAAGTTCAATTATTGTAACAGTTTGATTAAAGTAATTGAAATATATATATATTTTTAGAAGATAATATATAAAAATAGATATGTTATAAAGTAATTAAAAAATATATTTTTTTTTGGATTCACCGTTCACCCTCACTTAATTTGGGTAGCATTTGTTTTTGTTTTTATCATTATTTCAATTTTTTGTCTTCCGCCAAAAATGCATACAGGCGTGTTTGTATTTTCTACAGTATTGACCACTTTTTAACACGAAGCTTTTTCGCTGCGCATTTTTTTATTATTAACCCATTGTAATAATTAGTTTGGAAAAATATGTAAGTGAAACGATAAAGGACAAATTCCCGAGCCCAATTCCGTCTGTCAGAAACAAAATATTGCTTTTAGCGTAACCCTTTTAATGGTCTATTACGTTATCAAATTGAAAAAGGTTCAATGGGACAACGGAATTTCTCTTCGACCAAATTCAAAGACCGGAAGCATATATTATTACCAATACCGAAAGCAACAACCGTCATAGATATCAATATCCGTAAAATTACTTAAAAACATTTAAAGCAAGATCAGCGTTACTCTTTGACTTTCAATAGCAACGGGGATAATGATGTAGTTCTCTCAATATCCGTAGCGATGATGTCGAAACCTTGGGATCACGCGGTACAAAACTCATTATTAAGAGCGAGCCTAAAGCTAGCAAAATTTATGATTTTACCCGCGCATCTCCTTCCGCCCGCTTTAGTGACTTAACGAAAACACAGCGGCGCAACGGTCGCGCATCTATGGTACAAACTGGAGGGCATTTTTAACTGTACGTAGTATATGCAATACCCGATAGAGATAAAATATTAATATGTGATTTAATTAACTACGTGGAAAGAGTAGCCCCATACCAAAGGGAGCACCGCGTATGCAAACCTACTCACCTGGGCAGTGTATTTGTAATTGTCAGAGCCGAACATTATCTAAACTAATAAATATTACAAAAACCTAAAGCTAATCTTTTTGTATGTTTTATTTGTAAGAGTAATCTCTTTAACTACTAAACCGATTCTGAAAATGATGACACAGTCTGTGAGTTATTTTATATGCTAGCAAAAATTTTAAGAACGACTTTTTTCGTCTATTTTTAACCGTTGTTAGTATTACCTACTTGATTTGTTTTATCTATTTATCAACACGTAACAGCGGCCTATAAAATTATATAGGTATCACGCAAAATAAATTATACAGGTATCATACAAATCATAATGTAGCATATGTTTAGTTTACATATACTACGCGGTTTGATTTGAAATTTCATAGAATCTTCTTTTTTTTTAATAATTACGTATTATATATTCTTACTAAAATTATAAATACGAAAGTGGTAAGTTTAGTTTTTGGGAATAGTTTTTATTTTATTATATATTTATAATATTATATCGAGCGCGGGCGCTAAGAAATCTAGTCTAGTCGACTCTAGTCTCAATGGAGCGAGGACGACTAACTAGTGAAGCAAACGTATGCCTGAAGTTCGCGTAAGATAAGACGGACGATACAGTGCGAAAAAAAATGATGTGAACGCCAAATGCTTTTTATTTAAATAAATCGTAAAATACACAATATTTCATAGAATCGCTAGTAACAGCTCTCGGCCACATTAATGAGCTGTAATTCAATACAGTTTTGACTCCATAATACTTGCCATGATTGAATAAAAACAAAATTAGACAAAAGTTAGACGTTGTGACTTTGTTATTTTTTATATTGTTATGTGTTTTTAACTAGAGTCAACCATTTAAATTATAATGAAGGATCAATACGTATTTATTGTTTTTAATAACAAAATCCCATTCTTAGATCAAATGAAATCTACGGTGAGTTATTTTGGTTATAGCCTGTTCTTAAGATCGCTGTCGGCTTCGCTATTGGAAAGAACAGAGTACGGGCTTTGTGCTCTATATTACCTCATACCTACGGGCTACGACTGGAAGTTCTCAGTAAAAATTCCTTTTTTTATATTTACGAGCCAAGGTTGAACTTTCAAAATTTTTTTCATAGTTTCATCAATCCACGATGGTCGATATAATTGGAGTTCATACGCTGTCTGTATAGCCAACGCTTTCACTGCGTTTTTATATTAAAAGGAAGGAATTTCACTTTATCGCGTTCATTCTGTACGCGTGCGAAGATTTATAGTGAGATTCATTAATTTTTGACAGCAAATTAAGTCTTTATTTTTGTATTTTACAATTAACAATTAAAACGAAATGTAACAACCTCCTTTGACAGTAACAGTCCTTTGACAAATCGTTTAAATTGATATAAGAAATCCGAGTAACACAAGTAAGAATATAGATGTAGTCTACTGATAATATAAAAACAAATTAAGTTTAATTTAATGCGTATCGCGGGTAGAGTAGCAACTTCAAACAGTGAATGATCCCTGGAGGCTTACATCAGCCGTCTGCAGACTTTGAATGACCCCTGTTAGATTTAATTATCATATCGATAAGCTCTTTAGGCATTCAAAGTAGAATTATAATTATTACAATATAACTGCCATTAATGAAGTGGAAATCTAGAAAACTTTTCGCCTCTATATAATTATCAGTCTAAATAGCTAAGAGTCGTAGTTTGATATACAAAGAACATTTCAGGCGCAGCTCCATATTGATTAGAGAATCGAGGAGTAGATCAATTTTCTATAGAAAAATTAGTTAATAATTCAAACTCCGGATTCATAGACATCGGATGCCAAATTCAAACGAATCTTTTGTGTTGTTTTAGCGAGATCGAATGTATTAAAATTTCAATGTTACAATTTCAGAATGTTTCACGGAAAAGAGCCAGTTCGAAGAAGCCTAAGTCAACCCGTAACCGATAGCACGCAAACATCGGGACAGTGTTATGGTCTTAAATCGATTAAATGAAAAAAGTAAACACGCTTTAATTTGGTAATATTTTCATATAAACAAAACTACAGGAAAAAAAATAGTACCTATGTGCGCTATATCCAAACGCCTCAGAGATGTATTCATAATCTTAATTCAACAGCAGTGCAAAGCCAGGAGTGGCTGCAGTTTATACAGTGCAATTTCAAACGCCAATTTGGCAAACTTTAGCAAACTAGTTTCGATTGTTATCTGTGCGACTGCTTTGTCGTTGCCAAATATTTTATCTACACAGGTAAAGCTCGAAGCTTGACTTGCACTGAGGTCAAGGTAATCAATTAAAATACAACTAGTAGTAATGATACTATAATACCATACAATTGTATTAACGTATGATCAAGTATGATACATACAAGCCGGTTAAGGCTGGCGCCCGCTAGCGACGTAAATTGACATTAGAATGTCTGTTAGAACCTTAATTCTATTTTCGAAAATGTGCTTTGCAAATTGAGTGCTTAATAATATTATGATCTCGATTCATAGGTTTATGTCATCATATAAAAGTAACGGACCGAGGAACGATTATTAAATTGTTTGCCTTCTAGGCACTTGAGTTAATGAAATATATACGGTATATATTGTCCCATTAAGAAATGTTTTTGTTATTTATTGTACATATAACTTTTTTTTTTCATTTATGAATAAAACTAGAAACACCGTACGTCAGGCAAATCTAAACTGGGTAAAGTATCAAAATGTACTAAAAGACTTACTTCTTAACTAATATCTTCCCGGACTTATCTGCCTTCAAAACGATCTTCGTGTGAAGTTTCTCCAAGAACTTGATAGTTGGATTGTTGAACTGGTTCAGATTGTACGCCAAATTGAACAGCTCTTCTGTCCACAACTGAAAAATAAGAAAGCTATTAATGCTATGTTAATTATTATTATACATAATTTTAATAATACCACGACCTGGAAACCAGGAATCACGTTCCTCACATCAACACCAACAATACAAAAAATGTAATATGCATAGACTGTAACTTCTAATGAGACTAAAGCTACACGCGGACGCTACATAAATTAAAGGTGTGACCAATATAGCTACAATGGTATAATATGTATAAAAATCCGATATATCCAACATCAAACTTTTAAAATCCCCCCCATTCCCGTCAGGGCTTATAAATGATACACTTCTATATTTGTTCTAAAGTCCATTAACTATCAAAAGCAATAAATATCAACTCATAATGTAAAAGTTTCGGTGAATCCGAGTTGAGAGAAAATCTTACAAGTTTTAAGGAGAGTTCGACATTGTTCGTAAACAGAAATTTGACGTAACATGGTTTCTTAAATTAATGAATGAATTTAGATCCATACTTGTCTTTTTCACATGATTTTTTTTTGATTGGTCAAGCCTCCAAAATCTCCTAGTCTTTCAGATCATTCATACCTACAATACGCTGTCGGCATTTTAAGAATCACAAGTTTTGATTTTTAAATGAATTTACACTACAATAAACCAACGTTATCATTTGTGTAGCACATCATCATACTCTAATAAAACCTACAAGCAAGACGTAAAGTAGTTCTGTAGTTTTATTAGATAATACTGTCCCTAATCTATACTCTGGATCATGTAATTGGAGTAAACATAAGATAAGACAGATAATTCCATTCGTCTGGACTCCCAGACACTTTAACCATAAATCACATGAAGAAATTATTTTTAACGAATAAGTAGATTACGAAGTTCGAGACTAAGTTGGTAATAGATTGCCAAGAGACCGACATTCATTATGTAACACTAATATTATTTTGGCTACGGTCGATTCATATTATACAGAGGCGCGTAGCTATAAATTGTAACTCATATATAATATTGAAGTATCTTATGTTTACCAAAATTATAACATTAATACTGTAATAATCTTTTAATAAATAGTTACCGTTAGACGTTGCTTATGCTTATATTATCTGGCCTAATATTACTAAGTAGAGCAGTGTTGGCCTGGTCGTAGGTTCGATCCCCGGCTGTGCCCCAATGGAGTTTCTTTATAAGTGCGCATTTAACATTCGCTTGAACGGTGAAGGAAAACATTGTGAGGAAACCGGCTTGCCTTAGACCCAAAAAAAGTCGAAAGCGTGCGTGAGGCACAAAGGCTAATCACCAACTTGCCTCTTAGATAAACAAACGATCATGAAACAGATACAGAAATCTGAGGCCCTGGCCTAAAAAGGTTGTAACGTCATTCATTTATTTTTCAATATTACTAAGTATATTGATCGAACTAAGACTATACTTTCACGTGAAACAAGAAGGAGAACTGTTAAGACAAAGTCTCGTAATACAATAAAGCGAATAAAAAATAAGAATAAGAGCTTTGTAATTCTGCAATGCAAGCTCTGATAAATTTAAAACAAAACTTTAAAACAATAACTTTTTGCAATGAATACAAAGTCCCTCGTGAATAAAAACGCCGTAAGAGTGGAAATTCTCTTCGTCTACTAACTCGTGTAACCCCTCCCGCCCCTCCGCATAATTCAACGAGCAACAGATGGCCCGGGCTTTGAATAAAAATAATTACAAAGATTGCTATGATTACTCATTTCTAGATCTCGCGGGAGACCTAGATTGAAATGTTTAGAAGAATTATGCGAATGCTCGACAGCGCTTAAAACACTATTTAGTTTACAATGCCGTAGTTTGATTTTATCTCAATTTATACGCTTAGAATTTAAGGTTAGAATCAAAGTCAACTTGATACTATATGAAACCCATCTATCAAAAAAAGGATATGAGAACAGGTAGTAAAAAATACATTGTACGTTGGGAAAATGCAAAATACCGCAACCTACTCTACATACTCTAATATCGGCAAACAGCAATCAAATTTCCCTATTTGTTTGTAACACATTTACCTAAACAAAACAGAGAACCTATATTGTTCGAGGGAAAACTGCCGCAAGGGTAAATTGCGGTACATCGTCTCTCATTATTCGCGTGCAATGTATGTACGTATTTATAACGCAAAAAAATAATAATATTGCGAAGCTTTAAGTTGAAAGAAACCCTGTTTCAAATACCGGAGATAATCTAGAGTCTAGACTATTTTAAAACAACCTCATGTTTATTTTTGTAACATATTAGAATTATGTAAGTCATTTTTAATTTCTACCTACAACTCGTACCTTTTGATTTTATGTAAAAAAAATTTGCTATCTAAGTATTTTTATGTATTTTTGAATTAATTAACACTTTGCATAAAGAGAACCAATAAAATCAGGTAACTTACAATTACTAAAGTAAAAAATCTTGCTAATTTGTAGCCGATTTATCATTTCAAATATATTTTTTATCAGCTATATGGTGCCATAAATTCAATAATCCTTTTAAGCCTAAAAGCCGTTTCACAGTACGTGTGTAATAGTTACAATGAATTGGACGCACATAAAAAAATCAGTATTAATCAACCAAAAATGATGGACACTAAAGAGAATTCCCAGTGCACCACAACCGCAAGTATGGCATTGCTATGCAATTTATGGAATACGGTGTAATATCAACACGTGCCTCGAACGTTTGTCCCGCTGAACCGCTTTAATGGAATTTGCAACGAGTATCGTAACGTCATGTGGAATGAACCAAATACATTCTGAGCCTCGCCTATTCTTACCACTGTTTTAAACTAATTCTCGCTGTTTCTTCAGCATAGATTAATGTCGTATCTATGACAGATTATAAGAATATATTGTTCTAAACTAAGACGCACTCAATTGTCACAATTCTACAATTATTTCATTATTGGAATATTATTTCATTATTGGAATATTATTTAAAAACATATTCAATTACAATATTAGGTTGAAAAAATAACAACTGGGATGAAAAATAGGTATGCTAATGTAATCTCACTTAAAAGATATATAAATGTAGGCATTTCTAGTTGCTTATTTAAGCTGTAACTGCCTTTTTACGCTTTACAAAATAAATAAATAAAATAAAAATAAAATAAAAAGCCTTTTATTTCTTGCTTTCTATAAGTATTACAATTTCATAACAATACTTAATTTAATGTTTTTTTTAGCAAGAACCCTCTCCATGAAAGGTAAAGGCCTCCTCCAGAGAAGACCAGTATTCTCTGTTCTCTGCCGCTCGTAACCAATGAGTGCCTGCCACTTTTGTGATGTCGTCTACCCAGCGTGCATTTGGTCTTCCTCTCTTTCTTTGTCCTAGTGGGCCTGTCCATTGTGTTGTCTCTCTTGTCCATCTATTATCGCTTAGCCTCGCTACGTGACCCGCCCATCGCCATTTGTGCTTTTGTGAGTAATTGAGGGCGTCAATGGCTTGAGTTTTCTGTCTTATATGAGTGTGGCGGATCTTTTGGATTTTCCTTATTTTCAGAATGCTCCTCTCCATACTCCTTTGGCTGGATATAATTTTATTTTTTACTTTTCTAGTAAATTTCCAAGTTTGGCAGGCATATGTTAATGAGGGCAGTAGGCAGGTGTTCATAACTTTCGTTTTCATTCGTATAGTCATTTTACTTTTGAGTATTTCTTTGAAGCTCCAGAACTTTTTCCATGAGATGTTGATTCTTCTCTCTACTTCTTGTTCGTTGTTTTTTTGACTAAATGAAATTTGCTTTCCCAGGTAAATGTAGGCGTTTACATATGTTAGGGGTGAGTTTTCCAGGTATATTGGTCTTTCAGTATGGTTCGTCATGACGTTAGTTTTTGTTAGGTTGATTTCCAAGCCCACTTTACGACTTTCTTCGTGTAGAGCGTTAATCATTCCTTGTAGTTGGTTTGTATTTTCTGAGAGCAGGACTATATCGTCAGCAAATCTTAAATGACTCAAGTAACGTCCTTTTATATTTATGCCAACTTTTTCCCAAACTAGTTTACCAATGATGGCCTGTAGCACCGCTATGAAGATAGTTGGCGAGAGTGGGTCTCCCTGCCGTACACCTCTGCTTATTTGTATGGGTGGTCCTGTAGTCTCTAGCTTGACTCTGCTAGTACTGTTATCATAGATATTTTTTATGACTTTTATGTAGTCTAGTGGTACTTCTTGAGAGAGTAGCGTATCCCAAATTGATGAATGGAACAGAGAGTCAAACGCTTTTTGGTAATCGATAAAGGCAATATAGAGTGGTCTTTTGAACTCTTGGTATTTTTCTATCAACATCTCTAGCGAATGTATGTGATCCACTGTTGAAAAATTTCTTCTAAAGCCGGCCTGTTCTATAGGTTGGTATTTTTCTGTGCTTTCTTTTATCTTTTTCTCGATTATTGAGGAGAACAGTTTATATAGTGAAGGTAGTAGGCTTATCGGTCTGTAGTTATTTATGCTATTAGGGTCTCCTTTTTTATAAAGCAATATAATGTTAGACTCTGACCATTGCCGAGGTGTATTTGAGCTGTTCAGTATCTGGTTAAACAGTAGAGTTAGTGGTTTTGCTAGGAACTCGCATCCAGTTGTTATGATTTCGTTGGCGATACCGTCGGGGCCTGGGCTTTTCTCCGTTTTTAGTGTTTTAATCCCTTTAATCACTTCAGAATCTTCTATGCTTGCTCTCGTCTCTCCTCTATTTGTGTCTGGTAATTTATATCCATATTGGCTCGGTGTGCTGTATAGTTTCTTATAGAATGTTGTTGCTATTTTCAGTATATCTGATCTATTTTGGGTATTTTTTGTTTTATCTTTCAACTCTTCAATCCATAGTTTATGTGTTCTCAGTTCTTTGTATGCCTTCTTGACGCTGTTTGAAATATTAAGGTGTTTTTCGAAGGTTCTTGTGCGGTGCGCCTTGTAGTCTAAGTAGATACATTTACTAATGAGTTTGTAGAGTGCTTTTAGTTCGTTTTTCATGGCTCTTGATTTTGGTTTTGTCTTTTGTAATTCTTGTCTTCTATAAATTAAGGCCTTTGTGCGTGCTGATAGTATCTGGTTTTTCCCTTGATTTGTATTGGGTGAAACCTCGTAGGCTTTTTTTAGGCTGGTGTCTATTGCGTTTATAATATTATCGTAGTGATTTTGAACGGTGTCCTCGTCTCTCCAGTTCTTAAGTAAGTTTGTTATGCAACTATTCAGCGTTTGTTTGTAGGCTTGTATTTCTTCTTCGTTTTTTAATTTGGATCTGGAGCATTGGCCGAACATACACCGACTTTTTGTTATGGGAAGAATGTTAAGTGTCGCTCTCATAGGTCTGTGATCCGAGGGGTAAGTGATGTTTAAAGACTGTATGTTGGATATGTTTTTGTGTAAAGTTGTCAAGATATAGTCTATTTCGTTTTTTGTTTTGCCATTAGGAGATCTCCAAGTCCATCTTTGTTTACTATTTTTTTTGAAGAAGGTGTTCATGATAGACAGATTATTCTCGTGCGCAAAATCAATGAGTCTATCTCCTCTACGGTTTCTGTAGCGGCTTTACAAAATAGTGAACTTAATATAATTTACAATTTACGTATTACGTATATGACTCAGTATTCGACGAAGCGGAAACGCTCAGAAAATTTGTTGTTTTCAATTTTCATTAGATTTGTCGAGAAAATAACGTTCCACGAATGTATAGTAATTTTATTGCTTGTAATAATGCATTACAATTTTGTCACAAATAAATAATTTAGAAAACCAACCTAACTAATTCATGCAAAGTAACAAGCTAGTTACTGCATCACATATTGTGTATGGAAATTATTCTTATCAAAAAATGTATAAATATCACCGACGAGCATGCATGGTAAATGTCATGAAAGTGGATAAAACGAGAGATGTAAGTCCAGGACAATAGCAAGAGATTCGTGGTATTTGCCTACCTCTTCGGGAAAAGGCGCGATAATATAAATAATTTTTTCGTCATTTATAGTAGGCAATTCAATCTTGGCGAGTAGATCTATAATTAGAGCACAATAATGCAACCCCAGGCGCTCCTTCAAGCCAAGCCTTTGTGAGAGCTTCCGCGTCATGTCCGACAAACTCTTAATTGGAAATCCCGACTCCATCAATAAAACTTTAACTAAGAATTATCATCAATAACCAAGATTAATAAATTAATCATTTATACAATAATTACTGTAATTATTTTGAAGTTTCGGCAAATATTTACTTTGGTCGTCGCCGCTTTGTAAACTGTATATTAAAAGGAATTACTTAAATTGTATTTATGTTAACCACTCAGTTAAATTTAATGATTACAATGTTTATATAACTTACTTTTAGAATATAACTTTTTTTAGATTTTAAGTCCGACCCTATTCATATTTTACAGGAATGACAGATGGACATTTAAAATAAATTATTGTAAAATAAATAAATTCTATAAGTCATAAGTAATAAAATTTATAAGTCGATATTAATTCACTCAAAGTTTAATCATTTTGATTTGACCAGCTAATAAAGAATCACACTATGGCCGCAATATACAAAAAAGTTTGGAAAATCCAAAAGTGCACGCCTCATAGCGGTCATTCAGATTTAAAAAAAAATTCTAAAACAAAAACTCAAGTTTTTTAAAACAAAATAACAAATAAATTATTATCTTTAAGTCTCACGCTATTTTATAAAACGAAATTTACGTAGCGCATGCGCGAATCTTGATTTTCCACATACTCTTGCATATAGATAAATGAATGAAAAACAATAATATAATAAAAAAATTAAAAATAAATGAAAATGCATGATTGAAAAAAAAACAATACTATAATAAAAAAATATATAGTGGCGCCATAACTCTAAGGTGAGGAAAAAATATACTAAAATAAATGTATATATACGAGTAGATATGTATACAAATACACAGTCGTATTTTAGTTTTTTACAAATTATAATTAAACGACACTACTTAGAACGCTAATATTAACTAGGAATCAGCCCAGGGTATAACTTTATATAATAAGAAAAAAAATATTCTGGTACGATAAATTTTTCGACCAATTTCTCTGCCACATACATGGATTCATAAACACAGGCTGACGGACGTCCAAGAATGATTTATTTTAATGTTATTATTTACTATGTTAAACAAAATAGTTGTTCATAAAAAATACCATATGTGCTTTGTAGATTATTTAACTCGATTTTAGTGCACTCATATTATCCTGTAAGTGTTATATCAGTGAGAAAAAAGTCATTCAAGTTTCGAAAGACTGGGATTTTGACATGTCGAGAGTAGAGCACTGCCTCCGCTCCGCTAATGAGGCGTGAATAATAGACACACTTCTCTTTGAATTGTTTTATATTTAAAAAACAAAAATAAATATATCTTAAAGTAGTTTTTGACTATACCAAATACAAACATATTTTTTTCATAATTTTATTTTAGATAAGGCTAAAATATAGGGCGAAACATAATACCGAGCCATCATCACTCAATATGGCTTATTCATGCTGTGATCCAACCTTTTTCATACTTAAGTGGACTCCATAATAACAGTGTTAAATATTAATTCGCAAACATTGACCAAAGTTATTGATCCCTTGAGCGCGACATTCAAAAGGGGTTGGGGAGTGGCTTGAGTTAATTTATAGTCACGTAAACCCCAATGGGGCTTAGGCGACATTTCACTGATCTTTCAAGGTAAGAAGGTGAAACTTCTAAAATCTGTAACTAATACAATTCCCTGGGTAATACGGATTGAATAAATCCAGAGAGACTCTTTAAATTGGAAGAATGCCTTTTGCGTCTCTATACTACCTTCAATTAATAATACTTATTTCCTAGCTAAATTACACCGCTTTTGAAATATAATTATTAAACTGTAATAGGTACTAATTTAATAGACTCTGAGTAGGGCTGTCAACCTCATATCCCTGAAGTTTCGTCCAGTAACTAACATTTCGGATTGAGAAACCCAGGACTGATGACTTGCCTAGATAGGCTTGATTAGTGAAATTGGAAAAGTCTAATTTCCCGAGATGCTTAGGCCACTTGGTTTTTGGCTAACTGAGTTTCTAGTGGGGGTTATTTATACCGGTGATCTTAAATTCACTAGATTACCGTTTTACGGCGCCAGTGAAGCAGTGTCGCAGTGACAGGGATCGTAAAATATCCATTTTATAAATAGACTTATTTAAGTACCTTTCACGTATATTGGTTCACGCTCTCATAGTTTTTAATGTTATGAATAGCTTTCATCGCATATGGTGAATGCATGGCAATACATTTAAAAAAAAAGTGCGTGGTTTTATAGTTTCTGTTCGCGTTTTAAATAAACTTTGTAAGACAATATAGTTTTATTTATAAATATGTTGCATTGGGAAAGTTTATACAGCGGTCAGGCACGTTTTTGGGTAGGTTTGGTCATAGTGTGGCTGACATTTGTCTCTTTTTGGTTCGTGGTAGTAAGATAGACATAGAGAAAACAATGCACACGGAGCTGAAACCGGCTATGGCTATGTTCAGATGGCAAAAACTTGACGCGCGTTTTCAAATCGCGCGACTAGATATTGTGGTATTTACATACAACTGTTCACATGAGCGCGCGTTAACGCGCGTCAACGCGGCGCTCAGAGAAAAAGTCTCTAGACGCAGGTGATCGCGCGTTGACGCGCGCTTTGATATTAATGTAATTTCCGTATGCTGTTCAGTTAAGCGCGCGCTTTCATCGCGATCGCATGTAATTTTGTTTATTTTCGTAATTATATTTATAACAAACTGGGTCTATTTTTCAAAATTGGATGAACCCATGATGTGTACGTTTTCTTTTTCTATATTTTTCTTTATAATATAACCACAAAATAATAGCCTCTTCCACGTCCATTTTCTACGTTCTACCGAACTAGACTGACGAGTACTCTCGCAACGCGCATTAGCGCTCATAATCTGAACTCTCTTCAAATTTGATCGCGCGTTGACGCGCGTTAACGCGCGTTACATGTGAACATAGCCTAAAACTTAGACTTCGTTCGTGCACTAAATTAAAAAAGAGTAGTATAATTAATTTATGATAAGTGTAGGTATATAAAAATTTACCTTTTTTTTATTTTCACTTACTCCATATAATTTAAATCGTCAAAGTTAAATGCTCAAGTCAATCCGCGATTGAATTTTTTCGCTGAAATTTCTAAGCGTTTATATGTATATTCTTATGTGCTCATTAATTTCTATACAAAAGTGGTGCTGGATTCCATACATGAAATGATTGCTACGTAGAAGTAAAGACTTTCAAAGGAATCAAATGCATTATCGTATTTTCTTTACAGAAGATTTCACGATAAGGTTTATGAAACAGCCTTCAGAACCACCAAACTAGGATTTTTGCAATAAATTCGTAACCGACTGCGTCTGTATTTAATCTAATTAAGAAACACCTATAATTCCAACAAATCCACTGCTAAGAAGGAAAGATATATACACCATTGCACTTTTCATATTAAACCCAATATCTATTATATCCGACATTTCCGCTGTTCCCTCACCGGAAGGGTTATCTCGCACTACTAACCTCGCTATTCGTGTAACGTCAATCTGGGGTCGGAATCATATATCACCGACAACTATTTCATATATCATTCTACATGCTGAGGAAAATATATCACAAAATAGAAATGGATGGTAAGGCCGGTGCACGGTATACGGAAACGCCGTCATTTTGCATCATAATTTAAAACAAATGAAATGGGAGTAATACATATAAAAACAGATCTGAGCCCAAAATATCTTGCTACCTGCTGCTGTAAATGTTTTTATATCAAATTAAATTAGTCATAAGGAATTCATATCCTTAAAAAATAAAAATATGATGTATAAATTTAGTAAAAATAAAAGAGCAGTGTTGGTCCAGTGGAATCAGCATGCGACTCTCATTCTCTCGTAGGATTCATCGCCATTTAACACTTGCTAGTACGATAAAGGAAAACGGCATGAATTAGACCCAGAAAAATGGTTTGTCAGTTACAGAAGGCATTTAAAAGACAAATACAGAAATCTTAGGGCCTACCTTATAGTGCCACGGTTTATTACATAGAATGTTATGAACGCGAATAAGATGATAGCCTATCACTTAAATACCATTTATTGGCATTTAATTCTCCATCTTCGATTTTAAAATATCTAGCAGGCTCTCGATAAAAGGATTCAGTGGATACTATTGGATGGCGTATGTTAATTAAAGAACCCATGCGAGAAGATATTTAAAAAACAATTGATCACATAACATATACAGAAATCTTAGGGCCAAACCTAAATGGTTGTTACGGTTGCGCAACGGGATTTTTTTAAATATAATTATATATACGTGCCTCGTTAGATAGCCTATCACTTAAACAAGAATCATTCATTGGCATTTAATTATTACCCATTCATCTTCAATTCATAATATCTAGTTGGTCTCGTTAAAATGATTCAACGGATTGTAATTAATAAGAGCTGTTAAGCTGTAGTAGCACTTAAAACAAATGAAGCCATCTCGTTAGAATTCATTCCAGGGAATAGAAAAATTAATAAAGTTAATGGAGCGTTGTTTTTTGCTGCGTCTGTGCACTTCCATTTTCCGAACTGACTTCTATGTAATCTAAAGCAACTAGTATTTGAATTAACAACGCGGGTGCAAAGCCTGCGATATTTTTTTATATTACTAATTTAAGTACTTTAGATGGGGGAGTGTTATTCGTTCGTATAAATTCGAATTCATAAACTCCATACTCCATAGTCTGTAAATATATGGATAAGTTTCTTCCTAAATTAATAAATCGTAGTACTGGCCTATACAAGTTTAAAAATTTATTTAATTCTAGCTCTTGCCCGTTCAAATAACAACGTCTACGAAACGAACTTAAAATAAAATATTACCCTATTGCCTCGTTCTCTTTTACTTGTTGTAATCTACAGGTAAATGAACTGTCAAGATATGTTCAGTAGTTTCAACGATTATTTTCTTCAAACTTTATTTATAACATAAGATTCTATAGAAAACGCATGCATTAGGAAACCAAAACCTAATGTTATACAATATGAGTCATGTCCTATTTAAATTGCACATTTGCAGAACCTAATTTTTTGAGG